AGTCCTGGCCTGCAGGATTGGGCAGAAACTGGCTCTCCAACATCCCCCAATCAGTCCCAGATTGTGAGAGGGTGCAGGCCAGGCCGAGGGACCCCACAATCAGGGCTGGGAAGGGACGCAGGAGGTTGGCCAGCCAGGTAAGGACCATGGGAGGGCAGGGCATGTTCAGCCAGTCTCGCTCAGTCCCAATCAGCCGGATCCCAGCAGCAAGCTAACCTACTGGTTGGAGCTTCTACCCACTGGTGGTCAGTGCACGTCATTGTGAGTGGTTGAACAGTCTTCACATATCATTAGCATATTACGCTTTGATTGGTTGAATGGACAACTGGATACTTAAGCATATTAAGGTTTTATTATATAGGAGGTTATAAAAGCCTAAGTGACCGTTTGACTGGTAGCTATGACACGCAACGACCACCAGGGGACAGATGCTCCGACCAGGCTATGATGCACACCGACTACCAGGGCAGATGCTCAAAGCAGGAGCTGCTGAGCAACAGCAACTTTGCAGAGCGCCCGCGTGCACTCTGGGACTCCTCAGAGGATGTCGGACTACCGGTTTCAGCCTGATCCCTGCAGGCCAGGCCAAGGGACCCCACCTGCCAGAGGGACCCGCGCTCACTCCGCAGGTGCCCTTTGAACCCCGGCGCCATCCCAGGTGGGGCCAGCTGGGGAGAAACCATGGGAGACTGGTTCCAGGGCGTATCCGGCCAATCTTGTTCAGTCCCGCCCCACCAGCCACCTTCTAATTAATTTCCTTTCAATGCGCACGAATCTGTCCACCGAGCCTCTAGTTTTACATAAATGCCCTTCAATTTCCTTCCACTCCAGTGTCACTTACGCAGTGAATGAGAGGAATTAAAGCAGTGCCTATAGGCCAAGCCTCCTGCCAAACCACTGGACATATTCTACTCAAAATGCTTTGCTACCTGGCATTAAAAAAACTTAATTTGGATTTTTCATCTTTGATAGATTCCTAATTTGTTTCAGTTTGGGCTTATTTTGCACGTGTACATGCAAGCGCATGTCTCCACCCCCTACAAAAAACTATTTCAAACAAGCCTTTCAAATGTTCCCCTGTCAGCTACTCTGAGAGACTTGGAATCTTGACTCTCTCTACCTCACATATATAGCAGTAAGGTCTAGAATAGGGGTGGGCAAACTTTTTGACTCGAGGGCCATAATGGGTTCTCAAACTGGACCGGAGGGCCAGAACAAAAGCATGGATGGAGTGTTTGTTTGAACTAATATAAATTCAAAGTAAACATCATTACATAAAAGGGTACGGTCTTTTTTTTCAATAGTTTTATTCATTTCAAACGGGCCGTAGTTTGCCGTAGTTTACCCACGGCTGGTCTAGAACCATATGTTCTTCAAATAACAAAACCCTCAGTATGGTCATACCATCCCCTAACACAATCTTTTAATTTCTCAGCACTATTAGTATAATTATAATCTCAGAGGCCTGTGTTCTGAGAGAGTCTTCAAGTTTTAACCTAGCATTAAATCATAAGTTTATAACCAAATATATACAATAGTCTAATCTTACAGATGCAGGAAAACTAATGGACACGTAAAGCAGGCTGAGTAGGGAAATCCAAGTTCAGGGCGGGCTCATCTACCTGAGTGAATCCAAGTTTGATTCGTCTTTGTTTGAAGGTCTTGGCAAACTGCTCAAGCTCCTCAAGGTCACTGGGCTCCTCCAAGCTGGGAGTGTCGATTCGCTTTGGTGTTGCCTGGCTCTGTGGAAGTGTCTGAATTGGGGTTGCAGCTATTGTGCGTGTTGGGGTTGCTGGCTGTTAGAGAAGGAGAAGGAGAAGAACAGACATACAAAAAGGTGTTTAGGCTGCAACTGGACTGTGCAGCAAGTAAACAACCTAAGGAAACAGCTGTATTGGGGGAGGATTATGGAGACCCTGCAACAGGTAGTTTTGTGGAGAAAAGTAGAATGTGAAATCATGTACCCCAAAATCACAGATAAGCACGAGTAAAAAACTTGTCTACCTAAAAATGAAACCCAGTATATACGGGTTTTCAAATAGTCTAAATACATGTATTTTATGCCTTTTCATAGATTAGTCCTCATTTTCTAGACTCTACTTAATAAACATACCACTTAAACTATAAGTCTCAAAACAGCAGGGACTAATCTATCTTGTTTATCACTATTTTATATATCTCCAACACAATATTATAAAAATATTACTATAAGATTATTAAAAGTATTTTAAGAAAAGCAAACCACCTACAGTTTAAATAACTTAATAGCTTCATTTTCTCTAATTTTCCAAAGAGCTACATTTTTTTTTCTTTATTATCCTGTTTTTCCCCCATTGATTTTTAGAGAGTGGAAGGGGGGTGAGTGAGAGAAACATTGATGAGAGAGACACATCGACTGGTTGCCCCCTCACGCATGCCCATGCGCCCCTTCCGGACCAGGGATCAAACCCACAACCCAGGTATGAGCCCTTGACCGGGAATCAAACCCATAACCCTCCAGTGACTATAGATGCTCCAACCACTGCTCAGTGGTCAGGGCAATTATATTTTTTTTATTCCTATGGTTTTCCAGTTTTCCTAATTATCGTTTTCAAAGGCTGACGGAAGCAATACGATCATAATTTAACAATTTCTTCATTTTTGGACACTTCTTTGTTTTCACTAGCACAGGTGACACCACAACAAATGGTTCTGCATGTAGCTCTTTTCCCACCTCTGGAATTAGTTCTCGGAGATAAATTCATGAAGCACTTCTGTAACCAGATAAAGGGCAGCCAAAGACAATGGCATCGCTTCTGATCCACAGCAGCATGTCGGTTCTCACCATCCGATCTCTCCCCAAAATCTGTCAGCAGCTTTCAAAATGTTTGCTAATTCACTGTTGCCCTAATTCGTATTTCTCTTATTACATAAAGTCAAAATTCCCCCATGTGTGAATTATTATCTGTATCTCCTTTGATGTGAATTAGTTTTGACATCTGAACCCATTTGTATAAAGTATTAATGATCTTCTCATTCTTATCCTTAAAGAACTCATCAAATGTTATAGATTGTGTTGCATTAATGCAAATTTTCCCTATCTGCTTTTCCTTTTATTTTTCAACGTACCTAACTTTTAAATTATCAAAAGAAAAAAAAGGGGGGGGGGACTTTTTTCTTTTCTAATATCACGTGTTGCTTCAAACCTGAAAAAGCTTTCATTTATTTCTAACTTGGATAAATTTTTAAAATATTCTACCTGCTTCTTCTATGTATTTTAAAGCATTTAATTACTAAAATCCATCTAAAGCTTACTTGGGGACATGAGGGTATTATCTTTCCTTTTTGTAGAAGAAATACAAAATGTCCTTATTATGAAAACACAAGCGCTAGGAGACCCCTTCTGAGTATCACTAGTGACAGACAGGTGCTGCCGTGAGTGCATCTCCATCGCTCAGCTGACCCTTCCTGTGAATGGTGCCTGGGTTGAGAGATCGCAGGCCACGATCACATACCACGTCTGTGGCTGTGAGTTTTGCTCTTGTAGTTGAAATGGGTCATATACCCTTACTTAGACCTCATTAGTAATATACTCTCTCCAACTGAACTCACTAGCCCAGAAAACTAGACAATAGGACTCCACAGGCCTGCAGCTGGGTAAGCACCTCTCTGTCCTGTGCAGTGAAGACAACACTCATTTCTGACATGGTGACACTAGTAATTTTTAACCTGGCCATTGGGAAGGTGCCCAAAACAGCACCAACCATACCAGACACCTACACGGCTGTACGCTTCCCAGTCTCAACTGTCAGACTATTACTTCACCTGCAAGCTCAAAGTAGCATTGCTCTCAAATAATAAAGGACTAAGCATCACTTGGGTCACCTTAGGTGGAGTGGTTATAGAGGCGTTTCTCCAGCCCCAGCAGCCTGAGGCCAGGCTGGCCCAGACTTCAAGGACAGAGTAGAATCCAGTGAGCAGGGGCAGGATAACACAACGCCACCATGTACAGAGCAGGTGGGCCAGGAAGGAGTCACTTAGGTAAGGTCTTCTCAAAACTCCACCCTTACTTTTCTATTCCGCATATTCACAATAAAATGTGCCGTTTAGTGTGCCCTTTGAAGTGTTTCGACAATCACACAACTGCTACAAGTGATTCAGGATATTTTCATCACCCTCAAAGTTCCCGTGCACCCTGTGCTGTCCGACGCCACCCAGAGCCCCCGCCCTGGCGACCACTGATAGGACTTATACAAATGGAATGGCTCAGCAGGCGTCCTTCATGTCTGGTTTCTGGCACTTGAGCAGTGCTTTTGAAATTCACACATGGGCTTCACTGCAGCAGAGTACAGCTCTTGCTACTGCTGAGCAGCATCTGCCGCGTGGCTATGCCAAATGATACACTATCTATTCACCAGCTGGTGGGCATCTCGGTTGTTTCCAGTTTGGAGTGACTATGAATAAAAGTGCTTCGAACATTCATATACAGCGTTTGGAAGAACTGCTAGGTCAGAAGGCACATAGATAGTTAACTTGATAAGAAATTACCAAGCTGTTTCCTAAAGCATCAGTACTGTTTTGCAACCCTACTGGCTGTATGCAAGCTCTAGTTGCTTCACCTTCTCGCCACCCTGGTTACTGTCAATCTTTTTATCCTGCCCGTTCTGGCGGGTATGTGGTGATATCAGCATTCCCTCAGGACTCATGATTTGGGGCACTTCTTCATATGCTTCCTGGGCATTCACATACCTTCTTCAATGAAGGATCTTCAATATTTTGCATGCAATCCCTTTTTGGAACATCAGGTTGTCTCATGATTGAGTTGTATGAGCTCTTTATATATCCTGGGAACAAGTCTTTTATCAGATATTAGTAGCCCTGCGCGTGAATCCAGCGCCAGTAGCTCGCTGCCACCCTCCTGTAGCTCTCCACCTGCTGCCCCGCCCTCCTGTTGCTCCCCCTGCCCCCCATAGCTTGCTGCCCTGCCCCTTTCTGTATGTAGCTCTCCGCAGCCCACTTGTAGCTCGCTGTCCCACCCTCCTGCTGATCTGTGATCCGGTCATTACGCTGTCGGTTGTAATTAACATTTTGCATATTATATCTTCATTATATAGGATAAGTTTTAATAATTTTTTCTTCCAGCCTGTGGCTTTTCGTTTTATTCTTTTACCAGAAGCTTTTACTTTTTACAAAATCCATCAACTTTTTTCTTTGATGGTTAGGACTCTTTAATACCATTTAAGAAATCATTACTGTGCCCAAGGACACAAAGACTATCCCTGAGTTTACTTCTAGAAGTTTATGTCTACAACCCACTTCAAATTCACCCCCACACAGCGGGAGAGCCAGGACCAAGGTCCTGTCTTCACTGTGCACAGCCCAGTGGACAGGGCCACTTGTTGAGACTTTTCTTTCTCTGGAAGCCTCTGACACCTTCGTGGGCAGTCAGCTGCCCACAGATGTGTGGCCCCACTGGACCTTCACTCTTCCCATTCCTATCTATGTGTCAGTCTTACACCGTCTTCATTACTGTAGTTTACAGTAATTCTTGACATCAGGCAGCCTTTCAACTTTCTTACTTTTCAAAATTGCCTGGCTATTCTATGTCCCCCACAATTCCATATATGTGAGTTAGAAATGGCATGTAAATTTCTAAGAAAGCCATCTGGGTACTGGTGGCATCGTGTGGGAGCCATAGATCAATCTGGAGGGAACTCACATTTGAACAAGCGAAGCCTTCTGCTTCATGAACATGTTAGGTCTCACCATCAATTTAGGTCTTCTTTAAATTCACTCAGCAATATTTTATAGTTTTCAATGTAAAGGTCTTGCAAATGTTTGTTAAATTTATCCTTAGGCACTATAAATACTTTTCTTAATTTCAACTTCCAAATGATCATTGTGATTGGGAATACAGATTTTTTGTGTATCAACTTTGTATCCTACACACTTGCTAAAATCACCTATTAATTTCAGCAGCGTTTTTGTGGCTGTCTTGGAATTTTCTGCACAGGCAACCATTCGTCTACCAATCAGGGCAGTCTTCTTTCTTCTTTCTAATCTGTGTCCTTTATTTTTTTCTTGTCGTACTGTCCTGCTAGCGCCTTCAGTTCAATGCTGAGCAGGAAGTATTCATCTTTGTGATGCTGAGTTTTTGGTGGCTACTTTTTATAGGTTAAGAAAGTTACCCTCTATTCCTTATTTGCAAGAGTTTTTATCATAAACAGATATTGAATTTTGTCAAATCTGGTAATGTGTGAAAACTTCCATGAGAACAGAGTCAGAGGTGGAATGGGTCCCAGGGCCAGCAGTTCAGAGCGTCACTTAATTTACAGATGGACCAATGACACGCTCAGTCACAGCTGAACTGGTCCTAATGCTCTCGCCTCTCAGTGTCTAGACTGGTGCGTTTTAGAGCTACACTCTGGTAGAAATGAGCTGAAGCAACACCTGGAAGTTGAGAGAAGACACAGGAGTCAGGGCCTCTATGCAGCTTCCGAGAAAGGGCCAACCGAGGGCGCTCGGGCCTTTGCTAAGGCACCAGGCCTCTAGTTCGAGGCAAGCTCTCCTGCAGTGCTGGGGGAGGGTGGTCAAACAGCCAGAACTCATTACTCACTTGCCACTAAGACTGTCATTCTTTATGAACATACGTGAAAAAAGGGACTCCTTGAAGATTTTCAAAGACTACATCAATTTGGTAGTGGTGCTTTATCGAGTTGATAAGCCCAGCTTTGAATTTTTAGTCAGTTTTTGAATACTAGGATTTTTAAAATTAAGATGTGTGTGTGTGTGTGTGTGTGTGTGTGTATGTGTGTGTTTGTGTTTAATTCAACAAAGTCCAAAAGTCCCTTAAAACAACAGGACAAGAAAAAGCAACCCCCATGGGAGAAGGCTGACCTGGGAGGTGAGGGTGATGCTTGGCTGCGACTGCAGGAGGTTGGCTTGGCTTTGCTGAGGTAGTTGCGTTAAAAGATTTTGCGCTTGCAGGAGACCTGTTAAAACACAACACATTATGCCAGGAACATAAGGACTACTTTGATCTCATAGCAAAAAGAATATGACCGTGAGATGGAAATTTCCAACTGATCTCCTAATAGTCTTATTGGTCTTACTAAAGTTCAATCTTGCTAATGTGACTTGGGCAAGGAGATATGAAACATTAGACTAAGATGGCATGTCTTTAGTGTAACCTGAATAACCCTCTAATTGGCCAGTTCTTTACTTTCGGGTGGAATGGATGAAAGTGAAGTAGTCTAAATGGAAGCAGATTGACATTCCCAAGAGCTCAATCTCTCACCCAGAATCCTTCACCAACAACCAGAGAATTGTCTAGTTCATGAAGGGAGCAGACTACCCTTTAAATGTAACAGGCATTTACATAACAAAAGGTTCTGGAGTGAATGGTCAAGAAAAAAGGCTAAGCAACAGCAATGATGAGGAACCACCCACCCAGACACCCTCTGCACTGATGCCATTAACCAGCTTTAGAAACACAATGAACTTGATTGTTGATACAATATTCACCACTAAACAGCGGTGAAGACAGTTTTTATCATTTACAAATTGTGCACACCTTCTAATATAATACCCTCTCCTTCTCAAACCTTAAAAGAAACCAAATGATTGTAGAAGCATATACTTGAATGCTTGGCCTACATTCTTTGACTTCACTTCCAGGAAAAACTACCAAAATAGCAGAAGCAATTTATCCAATTTATGTTCAGTGTTGAGAGATTTCATTTAGACTTTTGGCCAAACTCTTGGTTCCTCCTTGGTGATTACAGAAATGACGGCAGGGAAGGATGACCTTCAATATTGTGGTACACGTGAAAAAAATACTCTTCTTAACATGAATACTGAGTTCAAAGGTCAGTAAAATTTAAGGAGAACATTGTTCTAATGCAGGGGTCCTCAAACTTTTTAAACAAGGGGCCAGTTCACTGTCCCTCAGACCGCTGGAGGGCCGGACTACAGTTTAAAAAGAAACTAGTCGGCTGCTAAGCAACAGGCAGCGGCGGCAAAACACCTGGCGGGCCAGATAAATGTTTTCGGCAGGCCGCATGGGGTCCGCGGGCCATAGTTTGAGGACCCCTGTTCTAATGGGCAGTTTCAGGGCTGCTTGCCCTGCAAGTGGACGGCTGTGATGGGCTCACCCTGCTGGCCCTGGGGCGTCTGTGAGATGATGAACTGTGCTGGCTGCAGGTTGGTGGTTGGATGCACCAGCACGAACTGCTGCAGGTTGAGATTCTGCTGCTGAAGTTGCTGTAGTTGTTGCAGATCCTAAAGCATTAGAATGAAAACATGGTTGGAGAAGGAGATAAAAGTTTGCTTATTTGTAACATTCTCAGATGAGGTGTTCTGTCCCAACCCAATCAGGCAACACTTCTCACTCATGCATGACGCATGCTCCAGTGCGTCCACAATGCAGGAGGAGAAACGGAGCTCCTACAAGGACTATATTTGTTGGCAGATACTGTGTCATGACTTACGATGAGCCTAATTTTCAATGGTTATTTCCAATTCCCACAATAAATGGTTAAAGGTGTGTTTTAACATGTAGAGACCAATATGGGTTTTAAAAATCAAGTGGAGTTTAAAAATCAAATGAGAAAAGAATTTGAGTTTTTAAATAGTTAACTGATTTTTTCTCTGAAGTAAAAATTGAGAGTGCTATCTGAATTTGCATAAAAAAATTTAAAAATCTATAGTGATTTATGAAATTTGGCACCAGCTCATTGAACTCAACTGAGAAATCACTGTGAAACATTACGTTACCCATACAAAAATCTGATCGATAACATCTTATTAAAATAATGTCAACATAGGGTCTCACAGCTCAGGCACTAACAACATGTTTTTGTTGATCAAGGAAGTGGTCAAAATAAAAATGTCATCTTGATAAAGATTGGATATAATAGCCAAAAAAGTTAGTCTGACATCTATTCCCTACTCTTGTAGTTGTTTCTTTGTGCTGTCTAGTCACACCCCCGCTCCCTTTCAGTCCATTTCCAAGGCCTCTCTCGGGGATGAACACAGCTGTCCAGGACCAGGCTCAGAACAATCTTCACAGACCTCACTGCCCTGACTACCCCTTCTCTCTTCTTCTCCTTGAGACGAAGGATTTCATTTACCTTCCCTCCTTGGTGGTACTGTCTATGCCTCTTAATTGCATTTTTATTATCTCTGATACTTGGTTCCAAAATGTGAAAAATGAAACCAAACAATGTCCTACCACAGTTCTGCCCAAGCTCCTTGGCTATAGCAGGCGCCTCGCTGGCTCGCACATGGGCAGGACCCACTGCAGCACCGGACAGAGCCAGGCTGCAGCCCCAGTGGCTAATGAGACACAGTGACCAAACCCCTGCTTCAAAAATATGCCAGTTAATTACTCAAGACCTGTCACTTAATACAGTCAATTATTCAAACAATCACTTATGTGTTTATAATATCAACTCAAGCAAACGAATGTATTATCACTTGTAGTTCAGTGGTAAGGAAGGCTACCACTTACCTCACTGATTGAGAGCTCCTGAGCCTGCAAGGGCCCCACTAACAATAAGAAAGTGAATTTCCAATTAAAGAAAAATTGCCCTTCTGATGCTCACTTCCCGCTCTGGCTGTGAGACTGCTCCTCTCCCTGCCCCGGCTGTGAGACTGCTCCTCTCCCTGCCCCGGCTGTGAGACTGCTCCTCTCCCTGCCCCGGCTCTGAGACTGCTCCTCTCCCTGCTCTGGCTGTGAGACTGTTTCTCTCCCTGCTCTGGCTCTGAGACTGCTCCACTCCCTGCCCCGGCTGTGAGACTGCTCCTCTCCCTGCTCCGGCTGTGAGACTGTTCCTCTCCCTGCCCTGGCTGTGAGACTGCTCCTCTCCCTGCCCCGGCTGTGAGACTGCTCCTCTCCCTGCTCCGGCTGTGAGACTGCTCCTCTCCCTGCCCCGGCTGTGAGAGCTACTCACTCACCTGTGCGATCTGTATGGGCTGAGACAGCGGGATCTGCGTCATGGGAGTGGCGGCGGAGGCAGAGATGGTGGCCCCAGCAGCACTGTGCTGTTGGCTGGCGGAGTGCTGCTGTACTGCAGCGGCCAGCAGCTGTGCCTGTGCCTGCGCCTGCTGCAGGAGCAACTGCTGCTGGGCTGGCGTCAAAGTGAGCTAAACAAATTAGGACAAACAATTGAAAAGAATTAAAGAAGGGCCCCTAATTCAAGTCAACTGCTCTGAAGGAGGTAACTCAAGTGGTATTAGACCTTAGCTACCAACTTCACATGGTTAGCATGAGACTAAAATGTTCATCAGTGATCAAACTACCATTACCAGCAGAACATTTAAATGAAAATGGTGGACCTCACTCTGGACTTAAATCATTCAAGCTTGTCCAGGGCCCTAGGTTTCAAGCAAAATAGTAATAAACTAGTAAGCAAGAAGAAAAAGAATCAACACTTACAGGCTATGAAAAGAAATGTATACCCAACAGAGCAGCAAGTGGGCAGTCAGATGAATGAGGACCAAGTAAGCTGCATCTGACATGGGACGGGCTGATAAGGCCCAGCTGCTCCCCATTAGCATGAATCCTGCCCTAGTCCATCATTTCCATTATGGCTGAAGATATGACTAAAGAATTATGAGCTCCATTTGTTTCTTTTCCAAGTCTCCCTGCAGCCCCCTCCCTCCAACAGTCTTTTCTGTTATTGAAAGCAATGGGTCTGCAACTTTATATCCCCTTTCCCACACGTTATCTCTGTGAAACAGGTGGTGACAGCCCCTCTCTCAACATGCAAATAATTTCTGATGCAGGTTTAACAGAGGCTCCAGCCACATAAACCTGGAATCCCAAGTGTCCCTCACATTATAGAAACTCCTCACCCAAAGCAAAAACTCAACCAGTAGCAGAGGAAATATATTCAGAGCAGATTTAAACTTGCTTTCACAATGCAACTTATTTCAGGCTGCATTAAAGCAGTGTGCTCCTCCTTCCTTTTGATGCCACGCGCTGATCAAAGGAGAAGGAATACTATCATATTCTGAAGAGCAAGGTCTGCCACTTGGCGCACACCTCCTCCTAAAGCAGTGATGGCGAACCTTTTAAGCTCAGCGTGTCAGCATTTTGAAAAACCCTAACTCTGGTGCCTTGTCACTTATAGAAATTTTGTGATATTTGCAACCATAGTAAAACAAAGACTTATATTTTTGATATTTATTTCATATATTTAAATGCCATTTAACAAAGAAAAATCAACCAAAAAAGTCACCTCTGACACGAGTGTCATAGGTTCGCCATCACTGTCCTAAAGGGTCCGATGCAACCTGTCTGTGCCTTAGAGACAGAACCTGAATCAAACGATTCAAAAGTCAGATTCCCTTCCAGATATGTTTATAGAGGTTTCTTATAATATATGAACATGTATTCATCTCTACTAATGGGATTTTGTAAACAATTTTGCAATAATTCTTAAAAGAGCTTTCTACTGCCAAAACATACTTAAAGGAAATGAAGGACATACAAAATTTTGTGGGTTGACGTGATATGAATTGATTAATAAATAACTCTTCCTTACTACTCCTTAATACCCCACCTCCTCCCCCCAAAATAATGAGAAATTTTCAGCATTAGGAAAATATTTTTAAATATTTTTATTGATTTGAGAGAGAAAGGGAGAGGGAGAGAAACATTAATGATGAGAGAGAATCATTGATCGGCTGCCTCCTGCACACCCCCAAATGGTGATTGAACCCGCAACCCTGACATATGCCCTAACCAGAATTGAGCCGCAACCTCCTGGTTCATAGACTCGTCACTGAACCATGCCTGCCAGGCTGGAAAAATACAATGGGGCCTTGACTTACGAGTGTCCCGACTAACGAGTTTTTCGAGATACGAGCCGTCTCTCGGCCGATTTTTTGCTTTGAGTTGCAAGCTAAAATTCGGGTTACGAGCCAGCTTCAGATACCCCACCGCTAGTTGGCGCAGCAAACATCACAGTGAACGCCACAACATCAGCCCAGCATCACGTGTCTCACTCGTTCACTTTTTGATTTGACATACGAGTAATTTGAGTTACGAGCTCTGTCACGGAATGAATTAAACTCGTAAGTCAAGGCCCCACTGTATTTTAAATGGTGTCTTAGAGCAAAGACAGCTGAAAAGTTAAAAGCTCAATATATTCACATAGGCCAACTTATCCTATATAACAAAAGCCTATAATGCAAATTGACTGAACGACAAAACAACCAGTGGAATGACTGGTCACTATGATGTGCACTCACCACCAGGGGGCAGACGCTCAATGCAGGAGTTGCCCCAAACCTGCAGGCCCCAGGCCAGCCAAGGCAGATGCCAGCGGGGGTCCCTGATCATCTCACTGGTCACCCCACAGATCGGCCCTGATCTCTGGCCAGGCCTAGGGACCCTACCTGTGCATGAATTTCATGCACCGGGCCTCTAGTTGTGAATAAAAATAAATGACATTTATTGAATACTACATGCCCAGCACTGTTCTATGAGTTTTACATACAGTATTACCCTTAGTCTTTATCACAATATTGTGGCATGGGCATTATCAACATCTGCATTTAAGCAAAGGAATACTGAGCCACAGGGAGATGGCATAATTAGCCCAGACAGTAAACTGAGAGCCAGAATTTGAGACCAGAGGCTTAATTTTATTTATTTATTTATTTTATTTATTTAGAGGAAGAGATAGATAGATAGATAGATAGATAGATAGGAAGAAAGAAACATCAGTGTGATAGAAAATCAATTGGTTGCCTCCACCAGAGGCTTAATTTTAGAACAGCACACTGTAACTTAAATGTTCTTTTATAGGCATTATTAGTGACCCGGTGCACAAAATTCGTGCACATTAAAAGGGAATTAGAGGAAATATTTTAATATTGCTATTTGCCCTTTCTCTATAATAGAAGTATCAGAGATGAAAGAAAATTAGTAACATGTATATGAAAATCTTCCTCTTGTCAGAGTCTGGTGCATGCCACGGGAACCAGAGTCAAATCCTCGCCCACCCATGTGCGCCTCGAAATCACGCGAGACCCAGACCCGGTCGGCCCCACCCCCATCAAGCCCCACCAGGTCGGGGGGGTGCGGCCTGAGGTCCCGTCAAGCCCCACCAGGCGGAGGCGCAGCCTCAGGTTCCTGCTAATTGTTCAGTAAGGGAACTCGGCCTCCACTGTGGGTGCAGCAATCTTGTGTTATGGAATCCCTGCCTCCACTGTGGGCCCAGCCATTTTGACTGTTACCGCATGACAGTCAATATGCATATGCCCTCTTTATTAGATAGGATTCCCCTCTTTAACTTCTGCTCTGCAATGATGTCATAACGCAAATGGTCACTACTATTCATCAATGCAAGAGTCTCACCCACTGGACAATGATTCCACCGCATGACGAAGCAACAGTGGAAACATGGGCTTAGAAATGCTGTCAGTTTATCCCAAGCATCTGCAATTGTAGAAAATATACCCTGAAAACCCAAGTAATTCCCTTCTCAGAGCTGCCTCCAGTGTAGAGAGTTCCCGAAGACATAATGGTGCTAGGCCCAGCCCCCTTACTGCCTGCTACAGCAGAGTCCTAATCAACATCTGGCCAATGGCAGTCTGGCACAGAACGTCTATCACGATGCTCCCAGAAAACTTACCCCGGTTATCTGCCCTCCAGCCAGCATGAGCTGGGTCTGCGGGATGGCTGCCTGCACAGAAGGCTGCTGGGAAGGCTGGCTTGGCTGCTGGGAATCCCCCGATTCTTCATTAGATTTAGACTGAAGGTGGGAGGGGGTAAAGAGATTTCAAATTGTTCATTAAAAGAAATGCACTTATAACTCCATATTTCAAGAATTATTTAAAACATGAACTTATTCAGTCATGAGTTTTCTGGTTTCATTCTTTTCCTTTCTTATAAATCTGTGTATTTTCCTGATTTTGCATATTAAGTTTATAGATTTTTTTTGTTCCATTGCCAGCAAAGCTGTATTATAATTTTTAAGAAGAAAAAATAATTTGGTCCAACACAAACCAGCGAAATTCACCCTAATCCTCCCCTCTGGGAAGGGGTGGGGAGAGCGCACTTTGCACCCTCTACAGGAGAGCTTCCTGCCCCACATTCCAAAGGGCCTTTGGTGGGCAGTGTGGCCTTACTCCCACAGAGAGTGACTGCCTGGCCCACGGAACTTCCTTTAATATCTAGAGAACTTTAACCTAGCATCGCCCATCAAGTCACACCGCAGCTTAGAGGGAAATGCGGAAATGCTGCCCTCAGGAGAGAGAGAACTCAGTCCTGGAGAGGCACTGAGAAAATATTTTATGTTAAATTAACACTGGTTATATAGAGCATTGAAATGTTGCATAGATTTGCATATTTCCCACCACCTGTTTTGGGGACTGCAGCAAGGCTAATTAACATAGAGGTTCTGATTAATTCTGCCAGTCAGTGAGGTAATTACAGTGCAGGACTGTAAACACACGGCACTGGAGACACAGCCTGTTTGCCAACATCTCTCTAAGGGATGAAAGTTTACCATGGCAACCCAGGCGATTTCCACCTCCTCTCCCTCACAAAGGGAGGTTGCACTATCTCCCTCTCTTTTCCCTCCTTGTTTCCATGTAGGCCCATATTCCACTGGGTTGCATGGAATGCTCAACCCGAGGTCTTGAGTCATTAGCAACACTGAAACCAATATTCCAGAAACTGTGTCCCCCTCTTGGCTTTTAGTTACCAAAACACGCTAATGAAAAGAAACAGCAGGTTGACTGAAATATTAAGGAGTCATGCCTAATACTTGAACTTGGCATGCCTTTGCCATATGATTCACAGTAGCAATGTAGCCAGATTTAAGTTTTGTTTTAAACTTGTTGACTGACTGAAGCACATCAATATCTATAAACAGGTTCCCTTACAATCCTCAGAATCATAACATTTCTGAGCAGAGAGGAACCCTGGCAATCCTCTCAGTTACCCACTTAAAGGCAGATCAAAAGGTATGAGCCCCAGAGGTTAAGTGACTTGCTAAAGGTAACACAGCTAGCAGGCACAGAATGAGACTCAAACCTAAGACCAGCTCTCAGTCCTGGACAGTTCCTCTGCACTAGAGTGTTTCTGTAAGATATGACGATGAGCAACAGAAAGACAGTTGGAAACAGAAGGGCATTTATGACGTTGTTTGGCTTGGTGTTTAGGGATGCACTACAGCTGCATAACTTGGAAACGTTTTTCTTGGACTTACACAGAAAACTTTGGAAAACTGACTTTTCTTGATCGCTTTTGGTCATTCACAGAGCAGCACTGTGTAAAATCCATCTTCATTAGTGACAATGATTACCTTTATTTCAGGGGTTCTCAGACTACGGCCCGTGGGCCACATGCAAATACAAATATTGTATTTGTTCCCATTTTGTTTTTTTACTTCAAAATAAGATATGTGCAGTGTGCATAGGAATTTGTTCATAGTTTTTTTTTAAACTATAGTCCGGCCCTCCAACAGTCTGAGGGACAGTGAACTGGCCCCCTGTTTAAAAAGTTTGAGGACCCCTGGTCTATTTGGATCTTCATGAGAATCAGTAATACAAAGAGGGTACTTCTCCTAAGTATTTCCTATTTTAAAATTACTGCCTGCTCATTCCATGAAATTGGAAAACTAGGGGAAAATGGAAAAATTGCCCGCAAGCCCATGTGCCAGCTTACCTGTACATTTAAAGTCTGAGCAGCGGCCTGTAAACTTGTTCCTGCGAGCTGGACCTGCAGGTAAGCAACCAGGGGAGTCAGGGTCTACTTGCTGACACCATCATTAGAGCTGTCCTCAACAAGGACTTCAAGCGCCTCTACCAAGTGTGTCATTGAGCTAGAACTGAGGCTGAAAGAAGTTTACCTGCTGGGGTTAAAACTGTGCAGACAAGTTCGCGGTCCCTCCACCGCCCAGGAGAAAATGCTGCTCCCACTGCTTTCTGGAGGGTGTTGCCCACACTCAGCATCACTGGATGCCACACTGGGTCAGTCAGACATTCCTTACATCACATTCTGCTTGTATTCACAGACACTTCGATCTAAACACTTAATTCATCTTCCACATTGTGTGAAAGAGCACATGTGAACAAGCTACTTACGTGCATTATTGTTATTATAATCTATCAGAATTATCTGCTCACTCTAATTTCAAAATCTCCACGTACACAGCAGAGTAAAAATCTTACATATGTGCACACCACATAGTCAAGTCTTTAAGACATGATAGCCCTAACAACAAGCTCTAGCTGAAAGGATTCTGTCCTACAAAACACACAGAATGCTGTCATACTATTTCATACTCACATGTCGTATGTTCAGAAATTCAAACCACGGTTACATTAAAATAAGGATCACCACTGGGACCATGATAATAATAAATGACTCAGGCAAACATAATCGATGGAGGACTAACATAATATTGACACATTCTCAGCTGTGAGGTCAATAGCTATAGTCAACTAAACTATAAGATGTGGACTAGCCATTCAGAATGGCACGATTCGATGTGATCAGCACCAGGCTCGATCAACTTAAGAAGTCCCACATCCTGAAAGACCTGCCCAGGCCCCAGCATCCAGGCCTCCATCCTCCCTTGCTCACAGTCAAGCAGAACATACTACCTGGTGGAGATGTCCGAAGAAAGCCTGGGCCTGGGCTGTTGAGATTGCTCCTCCAACAGGCACGGGTTGCTTCTGAAAGTCCAGACCATTCGTTTGTGTGCCTAGAAAGCAAGCAAAAGAACATGATTATGACAAATACAAACTCAACTGAAATTAAGCACTAGACTTCAGTTACCAACATTTACCAGGCATCTATTTGTATAAGCACTTTCCAAAGTATCTCCAAGGAGGCGGAGAAATGCAAAAGAAAGTGCACTACAATAATTTCTAAAGGCAGGACGGCAGGCCAAGTACCCAAGCACAGAGAGAGCATAGGAAACAGGAACAAAACTACAAATTATCATTACAATCTAAGATAGTGTTGGAGAAATCAGGAGTGGATGCGGTGACTGGGAAACAGGCCCAACAAAAGCATGAATGAGAGGTACTTAGGAAGAGATTACTGTCATCTCACTGCTGTTAAGATGGTGGAGACGGAGCTGCAAGGAGGTACCAAGGTTCTCCCCTGGTCTCATCCTTCTCAGCATTTGGCTTCGACAGAATAAATTCACTGGTGACTTCGACAAGAGCAAGACAAACTTATTCTTAACTTAAACACATCCTATACAATAAAAAACTAATATGCAAATTGACCCCTCAACTGGGAGTTCGACTGCTCGCTATGACATGCATTGACCAACAGGCGGCAGCGCAGAACATGGCAGGCATTGGCGATGCGGCAATGGCAGCAGGCAGCATTGGAGACGCTGCTGGCCCCAATGGGCTTCGATGAGACCGGGACCATGGTGGGATGGTGGAGCCAGTGAGTGGGCATCACCAGACCAAGGCGGGTGTGAGCAGGGGCCCAATCGCCCCGCCAATCAACCTGCAGACGATGACCGGTGGTGGTGGCAGGGGATCGCCCTGCTGATTGCCCCACAAATGGCGACCAGCAGTGGCAGTGGGGGCAAGGGGGCCTGTCCGGTGTGACTCAGTGGTTGAGCATTGACTCATGCACTAAGAGGTCGTTGTCTCCCAGGTACTGAGGGAGAAAGGGCAAATAGCAATATTAAAATATTTCTTCTAATTATTTCCCTTTCAATGTGCACGAATCCGTGCACTGGGCCATTAGTTAATAAATAACAACCTAATGGCTAAAACAGCCATTTACATGATAATCAAAATAGTTTTAATACTATATTCAATCCCCAAGTTTAGCTTGAGTCCTATAAGTAACTAGTGGTCTGGTGCATGAAATTTGTGCACTTGGGCGCGGGAGGGGGGTGGGTGTCTGTGTCCTCTCGCAGTCCGGGACCCCTTGCTCCTTACTGCCCACTGCAGTGGAGGCGGGAGAGGCTCCTGCTACCGCCGCTATGTTCACCAGCTGTGAGCCCAGCTTCTGACTGAGCGACGCTCCCCCTGTGGGAGCACACTAACCACCAGGAGGCAGCTCCTGCATTGAGTGTCTAACCCAGGGGTGGGCAAACTTTTTGACTCGAGGGCCACAGTGGGCTCTTAAACTGGACCGGAGGGCCGAGGGCCGGAACAAAAGCATGGATGGAGTGTTTGTGTGAACTAATATAAATTCAAAGTAAACATCATTACATAAAAGGATACGGTCTTTTTTATTTTTAGTTTTATTCATTTCAAACGGGCCGGATCCAGCCCGCGCGCCGTAGTTATCACTCCAAGGAGATAAGCCCCACCCACCCATCCAGGGCTCCTCAATGGATTGCCCCAAAGAGGTATGCCAGAGCCAGGGGAGGCCTGCAGACCCCACCACGTGGTGGCAGAGGCCCCACCACGACCCTGCCCCTGGGCTGGGCCGGGGGGCCAGGAACGTGAGCCTCACATCACAGACCTGTTGCTGGGGATGCAAGACTCACATCCCAGGGTCTGTTGGTGGGGGCGGGGACATGAGTCTCATGTCTCCAGGCCAGCGCAGGGGGCAGGGACACGAGCCTCATGTCTCTGGGCCGGCACAGGGGGCAGGGATGAAGCCTGCTGATTGGTATTTTGTGACAGCGTCCAACCAATTTGCATATTATCCTATTATTAGATTAGCAAGGGCTCTGCGATTGCTATAATTTTACAAATGTTAGAATAGGACTAACTTGTGGAAAGACATACGACCCTAATAACCAGAAATACATCTAAGGTATCTAAGACATTGTTTTCAAGTTACCATATCCAGCTATTAGTTAGAAAACATCAGAATATTTTACACTGAATAAAATACAACAGACTGCAGGAACCTGCAAGAACCATACAGACACATGATCGAGTACTGCCCTTCCACTTCCCACCACTGGAGTACCCGTCTCCTTGCCCTCACCTCTCTGTGTACATAGAGCACAGCAGTTAGGAGAGTAAAGCAGTATTTCTAAAAGGTGCAATTTCTGCCATTATGTGTCCTAATTCCTAAGAAATGTATCACTTTTCCTTGAGATATTATAAAAGAAACTAGAGGCCCAGTGCACGAAATTTATGCACTGGAAGGGGGTGTGTCCCTCAGCCTGGCCTGCGCCCTCTTGCAATCTGGGACCCCTTGGGGATATAGCAGTGCGCCATATAGGAAGAGCCAGAACCAGGGAGGAGCCAGAACCAGGGTGGGGCGCCGCTTGCGCTCATCCTGGCCCATTGCGCCTGTTGCTGCCACTTGGTAGTGCTGCCGCAGAGTTGGGAGAGGCTCCCACTGCTGCAGCTGTGCTCGCCAGCCGTGAGCCCGGCTTCTGGCGGAGCGGCACTCCCCCTGGGGAAGGGCACTGACCACCAGGGGGCAGCTCCTGCATTGAGCTTCTGCCCCGTGGTGGTCAGTGCACATCATAGCAACTGGTCAACCGGTCATTCTGGTTGTTCTAGTCATTCCATCATAACGGTCACTTAGGCTTTTATATATAGAGATAACTTCAATATCCTAAAAATTGTCTGTGTTCCACATATTCATCCTTCCTTCCCTAAACCCTATCTTTTTACTGTTTTCATAACTTTGTCTTTTTCAGGAAGTCATAAGGTTGGAATCATACAGTATTTTAGCCCTTTCAGATTGGATTCTTTCACATACATTTACATTTCTTCCATGTCTTTTCAAAGCTTGATAACTTATTTCTTTCTAGCACTGAATAATACACACTGTCTGGATGTACCACAGTTTATTTATCCATTTATCTACTGATAAAAGACTTTGTAGTTTCTTCCAAGTTTTGGCAATTATGAATAAAGCTGCTAAAACCACCCATATACGGGCTTTTGTGTGAACAAAAGTTTTCATTTTATTTTGGTAA